CTTAAAACACACAAGATTATCCAAGAAGCACAATTACTAGTAAACACAATGTGCACAGTCTGTAGAAGATTCCTCATGAAAGAAAGTGATGCATTATGTGAAAAGCATAGATCCCATGATAAAAGTGTGTGTGTGACTCTTGGAGTTCGACAAACACTAGATTCAATCCTAGTAGTGATCTGAAAGTTGAACCTCTGGAAAGAGAATCTAAGCACAACTACGGAAAGTCAAACCACTAGGAATCAAGGGGTATTTGGTGAGTAAAGGCGGAGGCTCCCCCTCAATCAATGAATCTTTTCTCTTTTTTTTTTTCTTTCTTTCTTTTGCATATTTTTTCTTCTTCTTTTTCTTTTTCTTTTTCTTTTGCACACTCATTGGCGGCTGACACGCTCAAGAGTATGGAAACCGAACCAAAGAAGCATGGATATAATAAGGATGGCCTGGTTGGTGACTCTGAGGTAGCCTTTTTCCTCATGGCTGGACTACAAAGAATAGAGGGGAAAGCCATGGAGATGCAAAAAGATGGCAGGTGGTTAAGAGACTCAACATCACCCATGATATGCTAGTATAGGTCAATTCCTCTAGAAATGCAAAAGATCAATGACAGAAGTCCATAGAGAAAAGAAATAATCACTAAGGCGGAAGACTCCAAAATTTGCTAATCCAAGAGTGTGTACAGAATGAGACATACTAATCAAAAAACAGGCACTCCAAAATGAGTAATGACCACAGAAAGCACACATATATTAACATGTAATGGATATTCTCATCAATTCCAATATGCACCAAGGACCATTCAAAAATTTCAAGCTTACAAAACCATACTAAGAAAATCTTTTTGGGATTTTTTTTTTTTTTCAAAAAAAAAAGCAAGACAAAAAAATGAACAAGCACACGTGTAATGACAAAAAAAAAAACACACATAAAAACCCAAAAACTAAAATGACAAAACAAATTAACACAAGTCAAGTTTTCTCACCCAAATTGCTTTAGTACGAACAAAGTTGTGAGAATTGCAGTTCTTGGGTGGTGTCTTGACGTTGTGGTTCCTTTCCCCTGCAATGGGAACTCGTCTCGACTTGGCTTCCAACTTCCAATTTTTAGGTCTTGGCAAATACACTCTCCCATGCAACTTATAACAATAAGGGCGAATATGACCATGCACACCACAATGATGACAAATAAAAACAGGGTGTACCTTCTTTTCTTTTACCTTACCAACTCTAGGAAATTTGAGAAGTCCATCCTTATGTTGAATTTTTTGTTCTCCCTTTCCTTGAGTTCTTGTATCATGAGATGTTGAAGCACTCTGTTTTTGCTCTTTCTTACCACCAAAGCCAATGCCACTCTTGTCTGAACAAATTTGTTGAGACCCAATAATATTGTCCAAAGTCTTTGATCCTCTGTTCCAAAGACTAATGGTAGCCATAGCACACTTGAGTTCTTCCTCTTTCTTGATCATTAGTTCTTCCAAAGCAACTTGAGACATCTTGAGAGTGATGGCGAGGGCTTTCTTCTTCTTTAAACGAGTGGGGCATTCTGAAGCAAAGTGGCCAAATCCTTGGCATTCATAGCATTGGACTCTTTTAGAGTTCCCTTGTATCTTTCCTTTCTCCTTCTTGGCTATAGAATTAATTTTGACTTTATCTTTGCTTTTAGATTTATGAGTATGAGTAGATTCTAAAAGATTAGGATTCTTTTTCACAAAGGATTTTTTAAATTGTTTTATAAAAGCCTCTGTAATCTTGGAATCTATCTCATAATCCTCATCAGAATCCTCTCCAACTCTGTGAGCACTACTAAAAGCAATATCTTTTTGTTTCTTTTTGAAATTCCTATGTGCCTCACAAGTTTAGAGATTTCCAACCAACTGATCCAGCTTGAGGTTGTCAACATCTTGAGCCTCCTCAATAGCCATAACTTTTGGTTGGAACCGATCGGGCAAGGATCTCAAAATTTTTCCCACAACTTTGGATTCTGGTATTTTTTCACCTAAATTGAAGCTGGAATTTACAATGTCACTCAACTTCGCATAAAATTCATCAAAGGTCTCACTATCTTTCATTGAAAGCTTTTCGAAACTAGACGTGAGCCTTCGAAGTTTTGAGCGTTTAACAAAAGAAGTGCCCTCATGAATAGTTTGTAAGATATCCCAAGCCTCTTTTGCGACTTCACAATTGCAAATACGGCTAAACTCTTCAGGTGTGACAGCGCAAAAGAGAGAATTGATAGCTTTACTATTCCAGCAACTATTTTGGTAATCAATTGTGTCCTACTTTTCAATTGGTTTGGGGAATGTTACTCCATCAACGGTAATTGGTGGTTCAGTCCACCCATTCATGACAGATTGCCAAACTTTTTCATCTATTGATTTCAAAAACGATCTCATCCGAGCTTTCCAAAAAGAATGATTGGATCCGTCAAGTAGGGGTGGTCGAACCATAGAATTTCCCTCACGAATTGAGTCTATTATCACAAATCAAACAAGATCTCGCTCTAATAGATTTGTAAAAAAAAAAAAATAGAGCGTCCTGCTCTGATACCAAATTGAAAAATCTAGAAATCCCCTAGATGTTGATTTGTGATTATGTATCAATTTTAAGCAATATATAACAATCCCAATCAAACAATCAAGACAAATCGACACAACGATTCTACGTGAAAAAACCACAATTGGACACCTCTAATTGTGATAAAAAAATCACGGGCAACAGCCACAAAACAATCCACTAAGAAGATATAAAGGAATTACACAGGTATACTCTCAATTACCTAGCGAATCCACGCCCGAATTGAACCAACCTCTACGTGCCTCTTCCAACCCCGTCTTCACCTCGAAATTGTCTTGACGATGAGCCACTTTGGAATCCACCAAAGCTTCAGGCTAGAATTCTTCAGAATCCACTGAAGAACAACTTTCTCTTTTGTATAGAATAAACAAACAAACCTTTGATGTATGCTTCTTAAACCATGATTTGAATACTCAATGAAAACATCAAAGAAAACTAGCAAAAAATCCCCAAATATAAACCTTAGAATCCAAAAAGAAGATCTGGAGGACTTGTCCAAGTTTTGGGAGAAAAACCAACTACTTATAGAAATCCAAAGTAATTCTAGTTTTGGAAGAAAACCAATTCCTTATAGAAATCCAAGAATCTGTGTTCGCGCGGTCCGCTCTAGCGTGGTAATTCCCGCTCGAGCGAAGGCTTCAAAATTGTGTGATTCATATAGGCTTCACTCTCGAGCGGAAGTTTCCACGCTCGAGCGTCGAATCACACCATCCAGTACTTTTTCAAGCAAAACAGAGATGCTGTGAGCTTGCAATCCCCACTCGAGTGTCACTTTCCCCGCTCGAGCGGGGAGACCAAAATTAGAAAATCTGGAAAACTAGATCCTGTTACAACCTCGGTTTTGATCCATGGAAATTGACAAAGGCACGATTCGGGTTGGATTCGCATCTAAACACTCATAGCCTCACTGAAATAAAAATACGAAAATAAATACAACTAAAAGAAGTTTTGTCAAACGGGATTGCCAAGAATAAAAACCTAACAACGTGGACCACCATGGATACTGACAACATCACACACTACCCAACATAGAAGTAATTTACATTTCAATTCAACAATATTCTAAATAGACTCATCAAATAGGGGGACCCAACTGGTTTGAAACACAATGACACAAACAATGCATTATAATGACATTGAAATCTTTTAACATGGACACCAACAATGTTACACCTTGACTGAAATCGATGTCATATTCAGTCCATACTACCTACAAATCACATACACTTAAAAATAAGGGACTCAGTGCCCCAATACAACAAAATAACATAACCAATGCCACATACCACACTAACATTGCATTCTTGACAAACACACCAATGCACCACATATGGTGGCACAAACACCAAATTGATGCCAATATATCAACGGACACTAGTATAACCAAACCCCCCCCCCCCAAAAAAAAAATATATATATATATATATATATGACATTAACCCCACCAATTTTTCAAGAAAAACAACATTTCAGCCAAGTGGCTAACAATACATAACCACCGTAAAGGCAAAAAACCCAAACTAATGCCATCATCACATACCATTACATTTGCACAAAAACAATGAAAACAACATCAGAAACATCGTACCTAACACAATGGGGTCATCATCACGAATGTTGGCTAATGTGAAAGGTCGATTGTGAACTCACCGGCAAGATTTCACGTTTGTAAATTGCGACGACTAACATTTCAGTGCCCACTCCTGATCGACTCTAGAAATGTACTGCCCAAAAAGGGTTTTTGTATTTCTAGGGTTTCGGATGAATGTAAATGTTATATTGGTAATGTCACAATGTGGATTCAACTTCGCCAAATTCGAATATAGCACAAATGAAGAGAAACCATCGAATCAACATTGGAAACACAAAACCTTCCATCTTTGTCCCTCAATTTTGATCAGGTAGGAGGGAAACCAAAAAAACTCTACAGCACATTTTTTAGGACAGATTTGTAAATTCCACATTACCAAAACCCAAATACTCCCCTAATAGTTGGGCAACATGAGCTGGAATGGTGTACAAATATGTCATTAACATTGAAATAGGACATACTGGTTTGAAAGATAAAAGGCAGGACTAAATGGTTAACAAGATCTAAACTTGGGATTTATTGGTACTTTACCTAATAAACTAACAATAATTAGTTTGGTTAAGTTGGTTAGAATTTATTAATTTTACAATAAAGATTAGTGTTCAAATCTAATAAGAAATTTTTTATATTTTAATTTAATGTATAAACATATAAAAATAACAATAAAAAAATGTGTCATGGTTCAGTTCAGAACCGTAATCACAGTTTTGGAATAGAGAACCAGGTCGATTTAAACCGTTCCACTATTTTCATAAAAACCATACTGAATTGATGACTTTGACCAATTTTCCAATTTCACCAATTTTTTTTGAACACCCCTATTTAAAAGATGTTTACACTTAAAAAAGCACACAAATTGATAATTAAACAAACACTAGAGTTAATACATTGTACAACTTAACATGCATGCACACAAACCGTAAACAAGACTTTAATCTTCTTTGGAGTTTTAATTATAAAGTTTTACAATCATATAGTAATAAAAATGAGGAAATTAAGAACAAATTGGTGTGGATGTCGCTCACATAATATTACAGCTGCCAGCCATAGCCATAGCGCCACCGATAGCACCAGCCGCATTGCCAACTGCACCGCCAATCATATTGAGTCCCGACTCAAGTAATGTGACCCGCCACATCCACTCTTTCTGAAAACATTAAAAAAGAAAATTAGATAAGAGATGGGAGTGGACTCCAGCCCTTCATTAGATTAGACTGTTGAGTTCAGCTTATTGGATTAGTTTTTGAGTTTTATTTTGATAATTTGAATTGTTTTTATTTTAAAATTTGCCGAATATATCATTTTTGTAAAAAATCAAGTTGATTGGAAAATGAAAAAAATGTGTTTGGATCAATTTTGTATGAACTGTTTATTTTCTTAACGTCGTTTTTTTTTTATATATATATATACAAAACTGATCTGAACACATAGTTTCTGTTATCCAATCGACTTGATTTTTTTGCAAAAATGATGTTCTCGATGAATGCTAAAATATGAACGGATGGGACCTGGAAATAGACCCACTGAGCTGGACAATATCTGTCCAGTCCAATAAAGGACTGGAAAGAAGCTAGTCACATTAGATAAATAACTTGAGAGTTTGACCTTTATGTCTGAATAGCAATACTCATTATCTAATTATCAATCAATCATATGGACCGAATTTTCAAGTCAAAGTCGATTGCATTATCGATTGTCATTGGTGTTAGACAAATGAGCTCTATAAATGAACCAATAAAAACCCGTCAACGAGTTGGGATTAGTTTATCTTTTTCTTTAACAATCATTCTCAATAAAACTTCATTTTTTTCTTTACTTTTCTCTTCATTTCACAATTCACTTTTGAAATTTAAGATCCAAACACAATCTTCAAAAAAAATAGAGAGATCCATGAGGGCCTAAGGACTAGTATAAACAATGTGGATCAACAAGTCTGCCAACTTATGCATTGACCTCATACTTGTCAGCTTCAAGAAACCAAGTGAATTTTTACGCTATCTCAAAAGCACCATAATTGTTGGCATGCGAGTTCTTCCTACTTCTACTTCTAATTCTTTTTAACATGTTATATCGATGCGAATTGGGCTAGTTGCCCAAATACTTATCGTTCTAATATAGGTTATTGTGTTTTCCTTGGAGCTAATACTGTATCTTGGTGGCTCAAGAAGCAAACTTACAATTTCTTAATCAAGTTATACATTTAAGGGTAGTATTGTATATTTGTTTCTATTTGACTTTTGTCTAACTTTCCTAAATCTCTAAAACACATAAATACATTATCTCGACCCTAGTTAGGGTTGATCAACCTCAAGAACATTATTCCATACTGTAGATATCCCATTTTTTATCGTCCTTAAGACTTGGGCGTCTCACTTTGAACACTCGATAATGAAAAGTTATGTTGTACAATCATTCAAATTCTTCAGCAAAAGGACTCGATTTTTGAGCTTCTAATCCCAATCTTACACCCCATTTTCACCAAAACTATTTTAGACCTTAAAACCCTCTTTTTTAAATAAAAAAATTCAAATGTTTGTACAATGTTCTGAGGCTCGCATTTCGTTTAAAATATTACACTTTTTGGTAAATCGAGCAAGGACAAAGTGGAAATAAATGAAAGGGAGGTGAACTCTTTGAAAAATATTTAAAAACATCTTATTTATAGGTTTGGAGTTGAAGAAAATAGGAGGGGTTGGAATGAAACTAGTTTAGAAAAAGGTTGAGCATCAAACCGTTAAGAAACAAATGAGCAACATTCACTAAATTGGGCATATCTATTTGTACACTTAGAATTTAGATATGATGCAACCACCATTGGAAAGAAAACTTCTAGGGCTTCAATTTAGACTCAAGAAGCACCTAAAATCGAGTCTGAATGATGGAGATATGCCCTATTTGAAGTCGAGCATGAAAATAGATTTTTTTTTTTTTTTTCTGCAAGTAGCTGGCCGACCAATTAAGTGGCCGGCCGACCAGTTGATGAAAAATCCAGCCAATTAGAGTGGCCAGGGGGCCAAGTGTCCCGGCAGACAGATATTTATAGCCAGCTGTCCCCCTCCCCCCCCCGGCCCGTGTATGCCTTGCACTAGCTATCTTTATATAGATATTTTCGACAGGAGAAACTGTTTTTCTATAAATAAAAGCCCACCCCTCTTGATTTTACATTAGAAAATTTTGCTAAGACTCCAAAACTTGCCAAATACTATCTCTCTCTATCTTGCAATATACATACACTTTCTAAACTAAAAATTTGAGGCTACTTGCTGAGATTATTAAGCCAAATTTTTAGCTCTTGAGAGTGATCACTTTGTGGTTTGTGAACCAAAGAGTAACTCTTCTTTAAGAGGTATAACTTTTGCCATCTTTACACTACTTCTTCCTTCCCTTTTCTTGTTGTTTTTACACTATCTTTGGACTGTTTTGTGGGCTAAAACTTGTGATTTAAAAGCGACCAAAGGTGGAGAAGTTAACCACCCTTCCTTCAACCTTATTCTTTAGCTTGTATCGTTGTGTTTCCCATTTGTTTCTCAACTTTTAGCCACTAATTTTTAGAGTTTTTAGGGGCTAAAACATGTGATTTTAAGGTCCAGAAGTGGAGGGGTTAGCCACCCTTCCATTGGCTTGCTTACTAGCTTTAATTCTCTTCCATTTTTGCTCACTTTTTCTAGTTTTCCAAGTTAATTTAAGCACTATTTTTATTAATTTTGGGATTGTTTTAGTGTGTTTATTTAGTTTATGCTTCGCATATTATGCATGTGTTGTTGTAAGTTCTCATAGGTTTGGTGGTTTAGGCCTTAGGCACCAATCTATTTGAGTTAATAGTTTTTGTTAGGTTTTTTTTCTTGGCAACCCCGTTTGACAAAACTCCTTTCAGTTGTATTTATTTTCACACTTTTATTTCAGTGAGGCTATGAGTGTTTAGATGCGAATCCAACCCGAATTGTTTCTTTCAGAGAAGTTTGTGATGATAAAGCTTTTAAGATTGCCACTTCGCTGATTATGTCGAGAGGCAGCGCCCCCGAAGCAAAATGCAAAAATGCATTCCAAGTTGCCTGTCCGCTCGAGCAGACATTCCCCCGCTCGAGCGGAGAATCCCTGGTTTCAGAAGTTTTGGTCACTTGTAAAAGTACTAAGCTGTGTGATTTCGCGCTCGAGCGGGTTCTCTAGCGCTCGAGCGGACCTCTGTTTTATTTCGCGCATATTTTGCTGAAGCCGCTCGAGCGGGTTGTTGGGCGCTCGAGCTGAGATCGCGGGACAGATTTATAAATTCGCGTGTTGGGTCAGATTTTAGGATTACTACTCCAGATCTTCTTTTTGGGTTCTAGGGTTTATATCTGGGGATACTTAGTGAGTTTTCTTTGATGTTTTGATTGAGTATTCAACTCATGTTTTAAAGAGTATACATCAAAGGTTTTGTTTGTTCTACAAAAGAAAGAGTTGTTCTTCAGTGGATTCTGAAAAATTCGAGCCTGAAGCTTTGGTGGATTCCGGGGTGGCTCATTGTAAAGACAATTCCGAGGTGAAAACGGGTTGGAAGAGGCACATAGAGGTTGGTTCAATTAGGCGTGGATTCGCTAGGTAATTGAGAGCATACCTGTGTAATTCCTTTAAATCTTCTTAGTGGATTGTTTTGCGGCTATTGCCCGTGGTTTTTTTATCACAGTTGGAGGTGTCCAATTGTGGTTTGTTCCACGTTAAAATCGTTGTGTTGATTTGTCTTGATTGTTTGATTGGGATTGTTATATACTGATTAAAATTATTACATAATCACGAATCAGTATCTAAGGGATTTCTAGATTTTTCAGTTTTTATTTCATAGTTTTCATACATATACTCATACTTGTAATAATCATCTCTGCAACCTCCCTCATTTCTTGGTTTTCTTTCTCTTTGTTTAAGAGTTGTTTCAAACAATTGATTGTTGTTTAAGGCATGAGAAAGAGACCTTTCATGCTTAATGGTTTAATCTCTTCGGAGGTTCATTACCAAGGCGTTACATCTCTCTCATGCTAAGAACAACTTCTTGTTTGATACTTCTCTTCACTTAGTGGACGTAACTATCATTTGTGGACAAAAATGAATAAAGAATGGCAAGGTAATGAAAAGGGCTAATAAAATGCAACTAGAATTGGTAAAAGATGTAATAAAACCAAATCAGGTTCAATTGGACGTTAATTGAACCTATTGCGTCTTGACTCATTGCATACTTTATTGTGACGTTTAATGGGTCAAAAAGTAATGTCAACCACTTCCCTTGAGGTAACTCCTTGATAGGGAGGAGGTGTTGTTAGTCTTTTATTTCCATTCATTGAGCCTTTGTCCTATCTGTTCATAGATCATCATGCAACAACCTTGCAACAATTGATGGTTTATGAATCGAGTCTATTCCTCCCTTGATCAGTTTCATGATAGGGAGAGGCAAAAAGGATAAACATTCCCTGAAAACACTCTATTTCTGCTTTGTTTCATTTCTGTGGCAGCAGGGCAAAACCTCAAAATAGTAGATGGCCGGCCACCATTCCATCCGGCCGACCACTTTCCAAGGCCGATTGGCCACCCAATTTTACACAAGTAGTGTCATTTTCATGATAGAACAGAGCAGAAGCTGGGGCAAAAATAGAATTATCTTCTGACTGCAAACAAAACAAAATCTGGTAGTAAAAAAGGGGAGTTTCCGAAAAGATGCCCTTGGTTGCACGCGTGGTTTTTCGACTCCTATTCGAATTAATTAGCTTATAGCTCTTAGATTAATTAGTGTGTTGTAATTAATTAGTTACATTCCTTTGAATTTGTAATAGCTAGTTAATTTAGTTAATTAATTTGGCGTTATCATAATTAGTTAATTAGGACTTTCATTCGGATCCTCTTGTGCGAGGGCCAATTTGTAACACTTTTAAATATTGTGTGTGTCTTCCAACCCTCATTTCTTTCTCCCTCTAGACACCCCATTTTTGACCGACCTTAAGACTCAGACGTCATTGATTGAGCGCTCGGTGACGATGCATATTGTGCTCGTTTTGAGGTTTTAGAGTCTCGGCTGCGAGCCTTGCCTCCCG